AAAAGGCCCTTCTACCCAGAAGAGGTATGAGGGGGGAGAGGAGCCTTTCTTTCTTTTCTTCCCCCCCTCTTTCCTTTTCCCTCCCTCCCCCCCCCCCCCCCCTTCCCAATTTAGCCTCAGTGGGTAGCGCAAGAAGCGAGGAGGGGGGGGGGGGAGGGGGAGAAAAGTGTAAGAGGAGAAAGAAACCTTTTTTCTATCCTTATTCTCCTCTTCCCCTTTCTCTCCCTCTCCCTCCCCTCTAGCCCCTACCATAAATCTGAGTGGTCCCTGACCATTAGTCTGGGTGGCTGACACAAGAAGTGGAGGGGGAGAGGGAGACGGAGAAAAGTGTGAGAGGGGAGGAGAGCCTTTGTTTCACTCCCTCTCCCTCCCCTTTAGACTCCTCCCACACAAGCTAGCTGTTATGGACACCCTGCTAATAAAGAGAGCAGCTGAGCCCCCCACAAATATTACAAAATGTTTGAAACAAACTACCTGTAAGACACTACATGTAACTCAAAGTCACAGAATATCTACAATAATGCCAGATAACTGTGATGATACATAGCTAAGGTTATCATGATATAATCACAAGATAAAATTAATAAAGATGATATGTCACTTATAATCTCTCCAACGTAAATACATGACTCTATAAACTGTAATTCATTCTCTATTCAGATGCTTTTACCTCTGCCTGTGTGGAGGCATCTGACAGCTGTTCGGGTGAAATTTCCACTCTGTCCTTTCTTTTGTCCAGTCTTTGAAGCATAATGACTGAATAAATATGAGCTACTTTCTCCTCTTCAATCTGAAACATGTTTTAAAAAAGTATGGCTCATTTAAGATGATGTTACACAGGACGATTTGCAATGAATGTGTTTTAATTCCAAAATGAATAAAAAATACATATTGTGGAACAATCTATCATAGATCGTTCTATATAGGCTAAGTGCACAGTGTTGGTGATCACAGTCATAACAAAATTGATCAAATTTATCTTCATATAATTGTGCTTGCACGAGAATCTGGCACACACTTTAAGGAGATTATTAATGTGCATCCAGCCTTAATTCCATCAATTGTGCATAGATAGTGCCTTCATGGTGCCTCTATTGACCCTTAACCATGCTTTCATCAAGCCTTTTTAAAAAAATCGCTGATATATCATCTGAAGAAAAAACTATATGGTGTTGAAAAGAGAAAGAATAAATAACAATAAACTGGGATATAAAGCTTGTAAGAAAGTCAGTTCTGTATCAACCAAGCATTTTCAACTACACAAGTTGAATGGGAGTCTGGGGGATGCTTCCCCCGAAAGTTTTGAAAGGATATCAGTTTCAAGGCCAAATGTAAAACTTTCATGAGATGAACCAAACTCTGTTTGGGTCTACATAAATCAAGTTAAGATCATCTGTTGGGTCAGAAGTCCAACTTACTGCGCTTTTCACAAACATGCGAATTCTGAAGTTCAAAAGCCAACTGACGATTGCGTTTTTCGCTGCCATCAATCATTGTAACGGGCCTCTTAGGAAACAAAACTTTACTTTAACGGGTTCAAAAGGTCAAGGTTTGTGATTTGTGATTGGTGGATTTCGATTCGTTTTGTGTGTTTCTGTGTTTCAAGGTTCGTGTCTTGTGATCGTAATTATGATTGACGGCAGAGAAAAACGCAATTGCGAAGGCGGCTTTTGAACTTTAGAGTTCGCATGTTTGTGAAAAGCGCAGTAATATACGTCAAACCATTTTACGATCACTTCATTTCATTGTCAGATCATTCCAAGTCTGATCGTTCCATTTTATGGTCAGATCATTCCACAGTTTTAGTGCAAAACTCCTTGTGAAGTGCGCTCTTTGGGGCTTATCGTTTAAAGAACGAGGTACACATATGAGTAGCACCCTTGTTTTTGCTTGTAGCTTAAAGACTCGTGAAAAGTTCTGACTATATTATGGAACAATGTGACTATTAGGTGGAACAAACTGGCTTGGAACGATCTTACCATGACACGAAGTGACCGGATACCGTCAAACCAATCAAATACACTGATGACATGGTCACCATTGCTTCCACTAACTTCAACTGAACTACAGAACTTACTGTGTTGTTCCCCCATCTGGCCTTGTGTTTAGAGACTGAAAACAGTACACCTTCAGATGACCACCCTGGAAAATAAAATTAAGGGCTGGCGTTGTTTACCCTGTCTTAGTTTATACTCATAATTTTTCACTTATTTAGCATAATTAATACTTGTAAAAACAGACAATGCTGTTCAGGTTCTTTGTAATGTTCTTTTTTTAAGCCTACTTGGAAATGCACACAAACTGAATTTATTAAAATATACATGGAACAGAGAATGGTCAAGAATTTCTTCAGGTGTGTCCAAGGGCAACCTGCTCATTTGGAGGGCATTTCAAACAGAAAAAAATGCTGGGTACTTGTGAGACACTAGGGAAATGTAAAAAATCAAAACAAGAGACAAATAAAATATGTCTGTCTTTATTACATAATGGTGTCATTTGGGTTTTACCATGCAAAAATGTGGTATTTTCACACCTGACAATAACATATTATCTTTACACATAAAAAGGTCACTGCTACTATTGTTACATAACAAATCTCACCTTTTGCAGCAAACAATTGTGATTGGTACTGGTGTTTATATAATAAACAAAACATTACATGGCCAATTGGGAAATGAAACTTCCCTTCTCATGTTGAAAAAATATTTGTCATACAAGACACCATGTAGCCATATAATATCCTCTACGTCTTTCAGGCTGAAAGGGTTAAGACACACAATGTCAAGTGAACTCACCAAATTGGGATCAGTATTGAAACAAGAAAAGATAAGGCCAACAAATCTTGCATCCATAACTTGATACATTGCTTGAGTGCGCAGATCTTAACACAACAAAGAAAACACAATGATTAGTTGAAAGTTATTTCTCCGGGTTGCTCTTAGAAAAATCCACATTTCTAACAAATCCACGAAAAAAGGCAAAGATACGTGCATGTTCAGCATGATAAGGGTATTAAATGAGGATTATGGTGAAAACAATGATGACAACAAAAGACAATTTTTTAGTATAAATAGCAAATTTTAAAGTGTTCCTCTCACGACCATATACATGTAACCAGACTTAACCCTTTAAGTCCCAATGGTTACCAAGATCAATTTTCTCCTAACAATATCCATACACTGTCATAAGATAAGTTATGAGAATTGATAAAATGATCACTCAAAGGAAGATGCCTTGATCTATTATCAAATTCTCTCAACTAATTCTTTAAGGAAATGTATGGAGATCAGTTTGGAGAATTTGTATGTGGATACTGGGGCTTAATGGGTTAATGCTTATGAGGAAACTGATGATGATGACGATGGTCACAAATGTGAAGAGGGCAATGATGAAAAATAAAACTATAGGTGACAAAGATAATGATAAACAAGATCATGACTGTAGTCTAGTTCCAGGCTCCTAGGAACATGTGTGACTTTGAATTCCTAAAAATAGCAGATCAGTTTCTGGGTTACAAATGCCCACCTACCCCTCCCCTAAGCCAACATTTTGCCCTAAGTGAGAAGTAAGTGTTAATGTTGGCTTAGAGGAGGGGTAGGTGGGCAGCTTCCCAGAAACATATAATGATCCGACATAGTTAACTTACCAACATGTGAAGGCCAGACAGTGATATGAGGATGAGAATGGTACCAGCCAATGACTCTCATTGGTTGCTGTTTTGATGTCAACATACCAAGTCTCTGTTGAGAGGACACCAGAACATGAACTACAATGAATATCTAATCTATTCTGTACATGTGTACTGTTAACCTCTCTTTACAAGCCCCTCTCACTTACATGTATAAGCCAACAAGTTATAGGCCCTTCTACCCATAAGAGGTATGAGAAGGGGAAGGGAGCGTTTCTTTCTATCCTTTTTCCCCTCTTTGTCTTTCTCTCCCTCTCCCTCCCATCCAGTCCCTGCCACAAATTTGGGTGGTCCCTCACCAGTTAGTATGGGTGGCTGGCACAAGACGGGGAGGAGGAGAGGGAGGGGGAGGGGGAGAAAGTGTGAGAGGGGAAGGGTCCAAGCCTTTCCTTCTACCCTTATTCTCCTCTTTCCTTTTCTCTCCCTCCCCTCTAGTCCCTACCATAAATCTGGGTGGTCCTTCACCATTAGTGTGGGTGGCTGGCACAAGAGGGGGAGGAGGGAGGAAGGTGGGAAAGTTTGAGAGGGGAAGGTAGCCTTTCTTTCCCACAAACATTATGAAATGTTTGACTGAAACAAACTCCTGTAAGACACTAACTCAACGTCCTAGGATAACAACAATAATGCCAGTTGACTGTGATGATACATGTATTTGAGGTTACTATAATATAATCACAAGGTAAATACAAGACTCTATAAACTGTAATTCATTCTCTATTCAGATGCTTTTACCTCTGCCTGGGTGGAGGCATCTGAAAGCTGCTCAGGTGAAATTTCCACTCTGTCCTTTCTTTTGTCCAGTCTTTGAAGCATAATGACTGAATAAATATGAGCTACTTTCTCCTCTTCAATCTGAAATTTAAAAAGTATGGCTCATTTAAGATGATGTTGCACGGGACAATTAGCAATGACGATTTTCAGCACAATGGAGCACTACAACATTGTTGCAACATTGAATCGAATGGTTGCAATGTTGTTCCAACATTCCGAAGCTGTGTTGCGTTTAAAGCCATCATTGTAAATCATTTCATATATCATCACCTTTAAATCAATGCACAAGAAATGCGGGCACTTGCCACCGTCACTTCATTTCCTGGTCATTTCCTTACAAGTTAAATGGGTTTTTACACTGAGGCTAGGTTGTGAATGTGCCTTTATTTCAAAATGAATCAAAATTACATACATGTAGAACAATCTATAATCACAGATTGTTCTATGTAGCTAGGCTAAGCACACAGTGTTGATGATCACAGTCATAACAAAACTGATCAAATTTTGTCATTGTATATCTTGCTTGCACGAGAATTTGGCACACACTTTAAGGAGCTAATTAATGTGCATCCAGCCTGAATTCCATCAACTGTGCATAGATAGTGCCTTCATGCCTCTATGGAGCCTTAACCATGTTTTTATCAAGCCTTTTTAAAAAAATTGTTGATATATCATCTGAAGAAAAAACTATATGGTGTTGAAAAGAGAAAGAATAAATAACAATAAACTGGGATATAAAGCTTGTAAGAAAGTCAGTTCTGTATCAACCAAGCATTTTCAACTACACGAGTAGAATGGGGGTCTGGGGGATGCTTCCCCCGAAAGTTTTGAAAGGATAACAGTTTCAAGGCCAAACATGAAACTTTTCATGAGATGAACTAAACTCTAATTTGGGTCTACATAAATCAAGTTAAGATCATCTGCTGGGTCAGAAGTCCAACTTAAGATACGTCAAACCATTTTCTGATCACTTCATTTCATTGTCAGATCATTCCAAGTCTGATCGTTCCATTTTATGGTCAGATCATTCCACAGTTTTAGAGTAAAACTCGTTGTGAAGTGCGCTCTTTGGTGCTTATGGCTCAAAGAACGAGGTACACACATGAGTAGCACCCTTGTTTCTGCTTGTAGCTTAAAGACTCGTGAAAAGTTCTGACTATATTATGGAACAATGTGACTATTAGGTGGAACAAACTGGCTTGGAACGATCTTACCATGACACGAAGTGACCGGATACCGTCAAACCAATCAAATGAATCTGTCAAATACAGATCAGTAATAAATCTTCTCCCGAACACGGCTAAATATGCATTATGATATACATTTTTACTTTATTAGTTTAGTTCGTTGCATGACAGCTGATATACCGATCGTTAGTTTGTGTGTCGTAAGGGTTTTACTAGTCTGAAAGCCGATCGGATCTGATCAGCGTTTTTTATCAGAACTGCCAATGGTAAAAGTTTAATGGTACACAGGTTCTACCTTCAAGATCCCCTAGATATTTTCCATATGAAACATGTAAACAAATACTGTACCTCTCCTATTAATAATCCCATCACTTCTTCTCTTTCAGTGGACAACGCGTGAGTCAAACAAACCATATATGCGTCAGCCTCGATTTTTACGGTATCGACAGCCATCTTGAATCTCTTCTCCTTCCGCTGGTCTTGGTCCGAGGAACTCCGCTGAATACAAAACATCGCCGGGGGGAAGGGGCGGGGGAGCGGGGGAGGGGGGCGGAAAAGGGTAGGGACGGCAGATTTTTCTGAGCACTGTACATTTTTACTCACACATTTATCACGTCCGGTTGTATATGAAGAAATAAGGAAAGTCGAAGGCTAAGAGGAGAAAGGATAAAAGGTGACTTGTTCGCAATCCTTGTTTGTTTTGAAGACACCCTCATGCCGAATACAGACAATACACAGTTTCATGACGTCAGTGTAACGCAGCCGTTATACTCCTCCGGTGCATCCCAATATTTCAATCGAAGCAGGCGTTCGTTTTCCTCTTTTAGTTCCACTTAAATGTGATTGACAATACTGAAATGTGGCTTTTAAACTACGGTCTACAGACTGCAAGCGTAGCGGTGTTGTATGTGGTCGGTTTCACCGGTGGAACCTTTGTTTTCGGTGCAGTCACGCTATACCAACTGTTCCGCTTCACTCCTCTGTGGCCACTCGTTATTCTGTATTTATCGTGGGTTTTTCTCATCGACTGGAAAACCCCTGAACGAGGAGGAAGGGATCTACTAAGAAACTTCGCAAGGCGACAAGCAATTTTTAAGTATATAAAGGATTATTATCCCATGACGCTTGTGAAAACCAGTGAACTTGATCCACAGACGAACTACATCTTTGGTTATCATCCACATGGTCTTTTTACAGAGGGAGCGTCCATTGGGATAGGTACGGATGCCTGTGGATTTGGTGAAAAATTCCCGGGAATTATACCCCACCTTGCAGTTCATTCAGGTAAAAACAGCTATCACTCTGAATTTTCACTGTACTGTGAAAACTGAATCCTTGGTTTGTGGTCTTGCCAAAAACATAAAGCAATAATTTATAATATTTAGTACTGGGACAGCATAAAACAAGGGTGAATCCTTTTCGACCTTTCCGTTTGCTGGTGCTTCTACATATTTTTTATGTGGAACTAGGACTGTGGAGTTGGGATTTTGAATCTTCGAAATCCTGGGAGTATAATATTAATGAATCAATCAGATTAAGAACTTCATTCAAGCCACTCAGCTGAGGCAAATATTTATTATAGCGGCATTGGATTTCAGTGAAATTTTAGTAAATTATTATGTTGACAATTAGGACAGTGTAATAACCCTCTCATAGGGCCAAAAGACCTGATGAAGCTTGATATTTGCTTGAAGCATCTACATGTGTTGTGTCATCTGTTGTTGGTGATAGCAGGAATAAAAAATGACATAAATTTAAGATTCACTTCTTATTACATCCTTGGAAACTGTTTCCAGACAGCTCCCGTCCTTTCCTTCTATTTGTATGCACTTCAGACTTTATGAGAAATGCATTAGAACCTCAGTAACTCAAACTCTAAAATGAAATGCGAAACAGTTCTAATTAGTTAGTGAATCTGGTCAAGGGAAAGTAAATTTGTTGTTGTTAGTGAGGAATTTATGTTATCCAAATTCCTGTTGACTGAGTAAAAATGACTGAAAAGTGAGGGGAAATCCAAGGGAAATTGGACTTAGTTCGAGTTAGTAGGGAGTTCAAGTTATCCAAGTTCGAGTTATTGGGGTTCTACTGTAATACATTATTAATTTTGTGATGTCAGAACCACAAACTCTGTTTGGGCATCAGACTAGTCTGAGATTTCACATTTTTGCACAGGCTTACTGAAAGCATGGATATATCGTGAGATACTACTGAGTCTTGGTGTGGTTGATGCTACACGTGAGAGCATAAAATATGTGCTGACCCAAAAGGGGGCAGGACACTCTATTGTCCTTGTTGTTGGAGGAGCTGCAGAAATTAGTCATTGCCGTCCTGATAGTTATGTGCTACAATTTAGTCGTCGTAAGGGATTTATTAAGCTGGCTTTGGAAACTGGATGAGTGTGATGTGAGCCCACTAAGGGTAAGTGAGGCACTCAACATTTTGACCTATACTGGAACATACTGCTGAACAGGGTCTACTTTTTCTCTCTCTTTCCTGAACAGGGTATACAATTTGCATGAGCTTATCCTACAAAAAGGAACCTAAAACAGAGATTAAGGTTGTTATCCTAAACAAGGACAGTAGGGCCATTTATACGAGGAAAAATAAGACGCGTCTTACATAAGACGCGTCTTAAATAAGACGCGAACTTTCCGTACAAACGGCACATTTCGTCTAAAATAAGACGCGGCTTAGCTAAGACGCGTCTTATTAGATAAGACATGCTCGTATAAATGGTACAGTTCCCGTCTTATTTAAGACGCGTCTTATTTTTCCTTGTATAAATGACCCTAGTGTTTTTCTTGGGGGATTTTAGGGTCATTAAATAAGGTGTTGTGTCAGTGTTTGAAGAGCTGGCGTCACACCTGTACCCAAACTTTCCTTGAGTGTCCCCCAGGAGTGTTTCAAACCCTCAACGGTAAATTTGTGTCCACAGTAATGTGTCGTGAACCTGACTCATCACCTTCAAATTTGACTTTGTTGAAAATGTCAGCTACAGTAACTGCTTTGATCATTTATAGTGCAGGGAAGGGGCATTTTACTTGTTGTAGGAGCCCAAGGTAGTGCCAGTTGCATACCTGCCAACCTCCAGAGATCTAAAATCTGGAGACTCTCTATTTTGCACTACACCCCCCCACCCAACCCCCAAATGTCAACAGCACCAACACCCCCACCCCCCCCTCCGCGCCAACAAATTGCCTTAGGACATTATATGACGTCTTACATGACGTACATGGGATCATAATGCGCTTTCATCATTGTAATGACGAACTAATCTTTGTCATTGACTAAACATGTGCAAGAATGTCCCAGAAACTGTTCAATGAATAAAAAAAAGTTCGAATTTTGTGAAAAAATGGACTAAATTTCAAACTAAAGCACAGAAATGCTCAAAAGTCCATTTTATCCGGGAGATTTGGTGCTCTAACCGGGAGATCGGGAGATTTGATGAAAAACTTGGAGACTCCCGGGAAAACTGGGAGAGTTGGCAGGTATGCAGTTGACTATAGACTAATCCACAACTTACAAGAGGGCAAGATAAGAATTAAGGGTCTTGAGAAGGGTTCAGGAGAAGAGTTCATTTTTTTATCTCTCGCCCGTAGTATTTTTCTTTCTTCCTTGTTCAATTGTAACAGATGGAATTCCTTGAGAATTCTGCTACTATGGTACCTGTGTATATGTTGCAGGTTAAAGTTGATTTCAGGTTGTTTTGATTTAACCTAGGTTGACTCTTAATATTTCCTTTGTCTCTTAAACCTAATTAATGAATAATTAGGAATAGGAGACAAAGAAAACTGACAAACAACCTAGATTTAAGAATTTTAACCTGAATTTAATTTTGACCTGTAACACATCGCTGTCTTGGGTGTCCTGTGTTAACTGCAATGGACGTTCCTATATGCCATTTTGTTTAGCTCAAGTAGACATGGGGTTCTGGAGCTTTGCAAATCTATTGTGATCAATGGCATGCAGTCAGTTATGCGACCACGTCTCCTAAGCAATCACCTATCAAAGATACCAAAATGTCAGTGCCAGTCAAAGCAGTAGAAACCTCTCATAAACATCAAAGAAAGCGACCACTCTGGGCCGACCGGTTGAAAGAGAGTATTAAACTAAGTGACAACATAGAACTGCACATATTTTCACTTAGAAATTGTATGTAATAAATTAGTTTCTGTCAAACCTGTTCCACGTCGAGGCCTTTCGATAATACAAAAGTCACTTTCTCGTTTTTGACTTTAAACAGGTGTGATCTTGTACCAGTGTTCGCCTTTGGACAGAACAACTTGTTTCCTCTGATAGGCGGGGGATACAATTCACGTTTCTCAAGGTTCAACCGCTGGCTGTATTCAAACACCCGCTGTGGATTTTGTTGTTGTTGGGGGTTTTCCTGGTGTCTTCCAAAACGATCTCCTATTTTCGTAGTGGGTAAGGACATCAGTTGTTTTTTAAAATTAATATTTTGTCATTGTCGCAGAGGTAACTGTCTGTCCCCACGCATCGATCTCTTAAAAAACAGATTACTTTCGACACTTTTAAAACTACTCCAAGTTGGTTTACATCTGTCCTAAGGAGGGTGTAAAGAGGGTGTCACAGGAAGGCCATAATCGTTTAGAAACAAATACGTAAGAAAAAGCTTCAGAAATACAAGAAGACATGTTACAAAAATTCCTTCAATTTCAACTTTCAAACTTCTACTGTGTGTATTAAAAAGAAAAGAAAACTATATTTGTCAGTTGAAGCAAGGGCCATACGAAACAAAGGTACTAAAGCTACAGAAAAACGGGCAACAAAAAAGTACAACTTGTTTTGCATTAAAGAGATTAAGATTTACGTTTACGCCAAACGGCAAACGTGAATTTGTACCACGTGACCAAGTTTTTCCTTTAATTGTCGTCAACTGTTTATTACTTCAACTAAAAAATAAGTAGTTTGACGCCCGTTTTATACATAAGAATTGTTCTGTACAGTTTTTATCGGCTTATTTTCGATTTTGAGAAATTATCAACTTGAATCTGACGTTTGCCGTTTGGCGTAAACGTGAATCTTAATGTCTACTATTTCTAGAAAACAAGTTGAAAAGCTATATGTTGCGCGATTTACCACAAACGATCAAAACTGCCTCACAACAAATCAGGTTTTTGCAAGTTGCGCAAATACTGAATTTGCGTCACTTGCTGCAAAACAAGGAAAACAAAACGGGCAACAAAACAAGTTTGCCTTGCGCCGCGCGGTAAAACGCCCAACATGAACTTCTTTGTACTATCTGCATTTTCATTACTTCTTTTCTACCTCGTCCCCAGGGTCTTCTCGTTCTCCAGTATTGGAAAACGAGAAGACCCTGGGGTCGAGGTTGAAAAGAAGTAATTAATAGAGAGGAGAAATGTGACGTCACGTCACCATGGTAGCACTATTCACTGGATAACAACAAAACCAACGACAAAAAAGTAATAGGTTTTTATTGACAAAACAACGTGCATCATGCCATTTTGTTCATTTCTCTGCCGTGGTTGCACCCTTGGGACATGAAACTTCCTAATTTCACACGCTCGTTTTATGGAGTGGGTGAACACAACACAAATGTTGTCTTTTTCATTTTCTAAACTTAAATACGGTCCTTTCGGATTCAACCTGAGAAAATGTCGCTAACCTTTGCCTAATTAAATAAAATTGAATAAGATGGATGAAGTTTAAAGAAGTGCGAATTCACTTTGTAGGTGACATTTTCGGTTTGTTGTCATCCAAAAATTTTGCTACCATGACAACGTGACGTAACGACTTCTCCTCTCTATTGAAAGGTCAAAATAGATCAGGTGAAAGATATAAGGGTACCTGGGAAGCTAGAACGGGGATCCTGAACAGCAAGAACGTAACAAAACAAACTAGAAAGACAATTTCCTCATGCACGTTGTGCATTTTCATACATTTCTCAGCTCTTAAGTTCTTAAAACAGTCATCCAAGAAGATCAAATAGAAGTTTTTGGCGGAGAATGTGAACACTTGATTGTAAATTTCGTTTCTTTGAACTTAAAAGACTCGTAGTCCCCACACTGTTTAACTCTTAGGCCGTTTAATCTCGAGAAAAAAAGATAACTAAAAATATTCAACGCGACTGGCCGTCCTCAAGGACAACGAGGTGGAGTTTCTAGATAATATACACCCAACTTCGCCCCCAGAGGACCCTGAGAAGGAGGCTGTTTGTTAAACGGAATCCGCTGGATCCGTTCCCAGTACCCTACGTCGACGTCACGCTCGGCCGTTGTAAGAGGAGGTTGTTTGAGACTAATGTAGAACCCAAATTCACACTTATTGTCGATCTGACATCATCTCTGACTCGTAGTCCATACTAGCGTTATTACGTCGTGTACAGCCGTCTACACAAAGCCAAGAAAAACGCACATCTGTCTACACTTCGACCCCAGGCTATTTAATGTGGACCTAAAGGCCGAAACGCTAAAACATGGATGCGTTTTCCGAAGAAAATGCATTTTTGTGGGTGGTTTCTTCGCCTATTCAAATGTAAATTAAGACTTGTGTTCTTTAATTTACTTTCATTTTCTGAATTTTTCCTGTGCCTTATTTTATCTTTACAGTAGGTTCGCCCATTCCCGTGGACAAGATTGAAAATCCAACACAGGAAACTATCGATAAACTGCACTCGCGCTACATCGAAGATATAAAGGAACTGTATGAAAAATACGTCAAAACGTACCACCCTACGGACAAATCGGAACTTCTTATTGTCTAAAGGGTCATTCGTAATAGGTTGCAGTAGTTGTTAAAGAAGGTGCCTCTGTTTGTATTATACATCATGTATTAATTTTATTTTATTCTGAAAAGTCCTTTTAGGACGAATAAAGTATGTATGTTTGTATCTATGTTTTAAGGAGATTTGCCAGCTGGTGAAAAACAGGAAGTGAATTCCAGTAACAGCTGAAGATAGTTTTCCCTGGATTTTTTCTTATCACAACTGACAAGGCACCTTTTTTCAATTCTACAGCACCAAAGTGAGGGTTATGCTTGAGCAGGCAATCCCCATTTTTGCTCTCCCTAAAGCCCCGGCGAAACAATTATTCTCCCAAGATTTGGTAAGAGAACTTTGAGAGACGATGAAAGTACAAGACGTCTCTAACAGTCAAAGCATTTGAAAGAGAGATCTAGAATCACGATTACTGCTTTCCTGCCGCCGACATCATAATATTGGAAAAAGGAGAAGAACCTGGTGACGATGTTGTCCAAACGTCAAGTTCAAGTTCATTTCGCGCCTTTTCTCCCGACCCATTTGACTGCCTCTAGGTCTCTAAGGATAAACTTCCTCGAAACGCTTGAATTTTCTAACCTTTTTTAAGATCTACTTTTGCCAAAAAAATAGGAACCATTCCAGAGAATAGTGTGTTTATATACTTTAAGTTTCAACACTAGAATCTTCATTATCAATACCCATTGATATTATGCCGACTAAAAGCCGGAGAGTAGTGAAGAGAAGAGAAAGTTCCTTACGTTACACTGTTGCTGCGGCTGTCCATATTGATGGTGTCATGTAAGGTGAATGGAGTTACAGTCGAACCCCGCTTTAGGGACACCCACTAAAACCGGACACCTCGTTATTAAGGACGGCTTTCCTTTTCCCTAGCGCTTACTATACATTTTTCACATTTTCAACCCGCTTAATACTCTCAGTACGGACACCCTGTTAATACGGACACTTTCTATGCTCTCCTCAGTGTCTCAGGAGCCCATAATAGGGAGCGAGCAACTCCCATACTAGACGTATATGTCACAGGCGCTTTTACGGACCGGTTTATTTTTAGACACATTTTAGGGCACTTTTTCCCACGAAAATGGAATCTCCGCCGCGTCTATGAAGGCATTCGATATCAAAGGCAAAATTATAATCTTTTAGGTCCGTAGGTTTTGCTGACTGGTTTGAGGGACTTTAAAAGTATTCTAATTTCGCGCCAATACCGTTCTAAAAATAAGCTGGTACGTGCAAACGCCGTGACACGAATACATGGACGTAAAAGAACTCGCACTGCCAGCGCTGTTCGTAAAGAGTAGGGGGCTTAGACACCGGTGGCGGTGGCGTGGTACAACCTTTCACGGGCTGGGTGGTAATGAAGGGGTTCATATCGATTGGGACACAAGTCCTGTTTCATCCCCTGTCACCGTCTTGAGTCATCGTGGAGGTCTGGTGGTCTTCTAGTTTTAGGCAGGAATAGCTTGCGAGTGTAAACTGTCGAGGGTTGGGAGAGGGCGGGGGGAGGGAAATTCAAAAGAGCGTTTCCTAATATCTCACCGCCCACCCATGCACGCTTCCCTAAAGCTTTCATACAGGTCAGGTTTGGAACCCATGGCAGGCATTCCTGGTCTGGTTAATGTAAAATTGCGTAAATTACAGAACATTATCGATTGAAAACCTCTTTAAAGCATCTCGTTCGTAAAATTTTCAGGAGGGATGGTATAATGTCCCAGAACCCTTACCCCCTTCATCCATCTTCGTTTATCAAATGATCTGTGCGTACCTGGCAGAAAGGTCTTGTTACGCCTCTAAATAAAGGTCAAACGTTTTATTGTGATTGTGGGGTTAAGTATTTCGCTCGGGGTGAGAACTCAACAAAAGTTTATACGTGGAGACTCCGCCCCGAAGACCAACCGCTTACCCTTTTATATACCATTTTTCACGAAAAGGGTACCCCTTTCGTATACCCTCTGCTGACAAATGATACCCCTTTTACATAACTTGTTTAGAACTTTGCATCCCTGTAAATGCAGGGAATCAATCACAAAAATAGAACGTTTTCTCGACTTTTTAAAGCCATAAAATTCATCCGTTAGCCCTTTTGGGCCCTTTTACAGACCCAAAGTACAGATTCCTCTACCCTTTTATACTGACTTCAACTAGTGAAATCTCAATGCGTATAGGCCATCATAGGGAGTACCCCCTCCCCCGGGGTATTTCGTTGACAAAATCTCTGAATTCATGACGTCAACATGACCAAGTAAATAAAGTATGCAACACTTATGCAACACATTCAACGGCGCATCATTTATGCCAAGAAGGTGTAAATGTGGTTCGTAAAATGACGGTACTGTGGCTTTTAAATTACGTTCTACAAACCACAAGCGTGGCGGTGTTGTATGTAGTCGGTTTCACGGGTCCAACGTTTGTTCTCGGAGCAGTCACGTTATACCAACTGTTCCGCTACACTCCTCTGTGGCCGTTTGTTATTCTGTACTTATCGTGGGTTTTTCTCATCGACTGGAAAACCCCTGAACGAGGAGGAAGGGATCTGCTGAGAAACTTCGCAAGGCGACTAGCAATTTTCAAGTATATGAAGGACTATTATCCCATCACTCTCATGAAGACAAGTGAACTTGATCCGCAGAAGAACTACATCTTTGGTTATCACCCACATGGCTTTTTTACAGAGGGAGCTTCCATCGGGTTTGGTACGGATGCTTGTGGATTTGGTGAAAAATTCCCGGGAATTATCCCTCATCTTGCAGTTCATTCAGGTAAGAACTCCTTCTCCAGTTCCTTGGCATTTCTTGTTATTGGAGTCTCTCTCCACGTCACGCAACGCCTGGAAAGAGGGTCGCTCTCTCCCTCTCTCTTCGCGTTGCGTGACATAGTGAGAGGTTCAGGGGGTTCCTGAAACGAAACCCTTTTGAGGAACAGCTGTTTAGTCCCTTTGCTCTTTGTGACTTTTGCCAGATTCCGTTGTAGCGTGAAACCTTAGATTGACCAACCCACACAGCTTTAATTATTTAGTATAGATGGCTTTCACAGTGACGTCATCAAATTGTAAAGTCAAAATAGCGAGATTTTACTAATTCTTATTTACACTAGGTTGAGGATAAACAAAAAGGAAATCTTTGTACAAGTTTTCATTCCCGTAGCATGTTTCATTTCGAAAATACAGCAATTTGAACTTCCGAGTTTTCACAGTGCGTGACACCAAAATAGGAATGCTGTCTCGTTGAAAAAAAGTATCTGCTCTTGATTTTCAGCAATATAACCATTCCAAGTATTAGAAGATATTTTTATGTGCATGTATGTGAGCTTTTATGAGCTTTTATAGAAAAAGTGTACTCCAGATGTTTTTGTTGATTTTTGGCGGCCATATTGGTGCACCAAAACTGTGCACCAACATGGCGTCTTCATACAAAGCTCTACAAAGGTGCGTGAAACGTTTCGGCAAATAACTCAGAAACTGTGGGCCACAAAGACCTGAGAATTGGACAAATTGTTTAAAAATAAGTCTTTTATAAAATTTCATTTTCTTGGCTTCTGCCACTGGACGGTTTCCAATTTATTTTTTTGTTGCGTGACAGTGAAAACGATCTATAAGCTCTGTGTCAATAAAAAGGATTTAAATTTCCTTGCTTTTCTAGGTTTGAGCTGTTGTACTATTTAAATAGATCCACCCTACCCACACCCCTGAGTTGAGGACTTACCTTTTCCAAATACTGAAAAGTTAAATTTCCTTAAGGACCATGATAACAAATGGGTAAGCCTCTGAAGAGTATCATGAAAAGATACTTTTGCTTTAGGGTTGATTTCCAGTGTAGCGGAATTTTTTCTTGCATATGTGTGTAAAATTTACATTTCACAAATAAAACAGAGGCAATGCATGAAAGGTCGCTCGTAAGCATAAAAGTTGAACCTCGCTCAACTTCTCAACTTCAGCACTTTTTATTAGCCTCTATTTTATTTATGTGATTAAAATTTTCTTGCATTAATGTGCATAGCCAAAAATCCTTCAGTGGAAATCAACCTTTACTTCCATAAAATCTATGTTTTTTTTAATTATTCTTGAACTTTTCATAATATTAACATCCTGAACCCAGAGTGTGGCTATAAAGACAGTGTAATATTCCTCTGTTGTAAATAATGCCATTTTGTAATAAGAAGTGGGACACTGTAGTATGGATTTTACCGTTTTGGTACTTAATTTCGCAATTTTTGCGAGACTGTATTTTGTGGGGTTTTATTTTCGCGATTTTAATAGGCAAATATGAAAAAAGGCATTAGATTTAGTGATTTAAGCATTCTCAACTTTGTTTTATTTTTTATTTTTTATCTAGCCTATGCAGGGGAAGAGGGAGCTACATCTCTGCTTGTGTACAATTCCCTTCAGAAGACCCCATTCTTTCCTGCACCCATATTATTTGCTGTTACTTGCAAGCACCTGCTATGGAGGTAGCAAGGTCCAAAAAGTCTTACTTTTCATGCATCCAGCACCAACTAAATTTGGCACCTTTTGTTCTCAGTATTGTTTCTTTTGCTCAGGAGCCCTAAATGAAAATTGGCCCTAATTCAGCAAGGCAGCTCCAACTGATCAACTTCAACATAACTCCACCCATAACTTAATTGGCACTTTCAACATTTCCCATTATTGCAGATTCTTAGAGGGGGTTACTCCCAAAAATTTCAGATAAGTGTGTTCCACCCAGGGTCTTAAACTCTGACCATATTTAAGGATGATTCAAGCTAAATGAAAATTGATACTGCCTATTTAAGGCCCGCACCTGAAAATGAGACCCAGTTAAAGGGAAAAACAAACAACTAAGAATTAAACAGATTAAACACACAAATCTTTTTAAATCACTTCCCTTATACTCTAAGGTAAAGTTCAGTTTTAACAGATGATTCGTTTCTCATGTAGCTCGGCATTTATGCACTTAAATTTTAGCTGATATAATGATAGTACCAGTACCTATTTAAGGATCACACCAGGGGCACAACACAACAAGGGCAAAAATGATACCCTATTTACGGAA